TTGTTCTAAATCCTTCTCCAGCTCTGTCCAGGACCCTGTATTGTGATCCTGATCAGAGCAGTTGGTGGTGGTAGCCGGGCACCATCTAGCTTACAGGACTCAGTCCGGTGGAGGCCGTGGTAGCTGTGGTCCATTAGTCCTTTGGACTAATCTTTTCCTTGTATCCTGTTCTCTTCATTCTCCCTTGCTCCTGAAGGGGTGAGACTAGTGGAGTATCTTAGACGGCTGCTTACAGGCTTTTAAGACCCTAGACGCTACTCACTAAGGTCAAATGTAGAACATTGTCTTTATAAACTGTGTTATGCCAGTAGAGCTAGATGTTCCCCGAAACCATGGTCCCCACAGCCCTCTGCCCAGCAGTTCAGTCCCTCAGGGAGTTTGGATGTATCTGTGGAATTTCCATGACCTTTCCTTGTACAAGTTGTGCTGGCTTCCCCAGTGTTGTGTCCTGTCTTACCCTTTGCCAAAGTTACCACTTATCTATTGTCTGTTTAGTTTTCCCCTTACCCCTCCCATCCCTCATAACCAACAAAGATTGTTTCTTTTTGTGTGTAAACTTTTTCATGAGTTTTTAATGATCCAGGTACTTTGTGTCTTCTCTCCTTTATTCCTGAATAGGCTAACTAGAGGTTTATCAATTTTATTGATCTTTTCAAAGTCCTGATTTTGGTTTTATTGATTTTCCCTATTATTTCTGCTTCCTGTTTCATTTATTTTGGCTTTTATCTTTATTTCTTTCCTTCTGGTAACTGTGGGTTTATTTTGGCTCTTCTTTTTCTGGTTTCTTAAAGTGGAAGCTTAGATTATTAGTTGAGATATTACCTCTTTGTATAATATGTCCACTTAGTGCTATAAATTTCCATCTTAGCACTATTTTAGCTACACCCCAGAAAATGTGATATGTCTTGTTTCCATTTTAATTCAGTTCAAAATATGTTCTAATTCCCCTTGTGATTTCTGCTTTGATCCATCGGTTATTTAGAAATGTGTTATTTAATTTCCACATATTTGGGTGATTTTCCAGATATTGGAATGTTACTGATTTCAACCTTAATTCCATTGTGATCAGAGAACATACTTTGTCTGACTTGAATCATTTTAAATTTATTAAGACTTGTTTTATGACTCCAAATATGGTCTATCTTGGTGAATGTGCCTTGAAAAGAAAGCATATTCTGCTGTTGATGGGTATTCTGTTAATGTTGTTGTTGTTAAATGTAGTTGAGTCTGTTGCGAACGAGATCCAAAGTTTTGACCAAAGGAAATGGAATTGTTTATTTGTGTTGTGGGAAGGTTTATATAAAAGTAGAAAATGGACTCAGATGTTAGTATGAGATTTGCTATTTTAACATTAGGTATGAATTGACTGACTACTCAGGGCTGAAATTTCCTTATTTGTTAAAATGAGATACTACAACCGATAATATCAATTTTGAAAGACTATTTGAAGAAGTTATTGCTGAAACAGTGTCTAAATAGAGAGAGAGAGAGAGAGAGACTCATGAGGCTGAGTTTCTGAATATCCCCAATCATGAGACTGGCTTTCCTGTGGTTGTTTATTTCATGAGTCAATAAATTAATCTCTTTTGCTTAAGCAAACAAGTTTCTGTCACTTGCAAACAAAGAGTTCTGAGTAATATAATTATTTCTAAGTGCCGGACATAATTTTAGTGGGCTGATAGCGGGGTGATAGATCAGACGTTCTCTTAGGATTTCAGAGAACTCCATGGATTCTGAAGAAGCCACTTAAGATGAGGGGAGGAGGATTAGGCTGGAATCAGGAGACCTACGTTTTCCTTTCTGCTCTGCCAGTTCCCGCCTGTGATCTTGAGCAAGTCACTGACCTTCACGGAGCCTCATTTTCCTTACCTATTAAGCTATAACATGAAACTAATGTGTACTCTGCCTCTCTCACAGGGAATCTCATGTGTCAAATAAAATAATGCATTCACAAATTGTAACCAAACCAGTTATTGTAGAGTTAACCCTGACTCATAGTGACTCCGTGTATGTCAGAGTACAGCTGTGCTCCATAAGGTTTTCAATGGCTGATTTTTCATAAGTAGATCACCAAGCCTTTCTTCCGAGGTGCTTCTGGGTGGACTTGAATTTCCAACCTTTTGGTTAGCAGTGAGCGCATTGTTAACCATTTTCAACACGCAGGGACTCCTTCAAATTGTAAAGGGTTGTACAAAACTTTGTTGTTATAGTTTCATGTCAGTGGTCTTTACTTTTTTGAAATATGTAGGGCGTACGTTTCAAAAGATAATTTGCGAGGTTGAGAAATAGAGTGATTTGCAAATTTGCACCAAGGCTCCAGTTTTCAAATCTGAAATTGATTCTGTTCCCAAGACAATTTCCTGTTTTAAGGCTTAATGATTAGTAATAACTGTGAATCTGAATGTCTTCAGTCGGCCAAAATACATCAACTACTCTTTTAATTTTTAAAGGCAGACATAGTAGAGTTCGTTAAAAATTTGTGCTTAAAATTACAATAAATAATTATGATTGTTATGACAACAGAAACTTAGATTTATGTTTCTTTCAAATGTCAGTTGGCTGATGCACTCAAGATATTCTTGACAGGCTTGCCAGTGAATGTAAACTAAATAAAGTCTTTTAAAAATCAGTTTTTAAATATACTTGATACCTTATTCAACAGCCAAGGAATATGGCAAGATTTGGAATTTTCAAAATGGAGCTAATAATTCTGTAATACCATTAGTGTTCATGTTTAAAGACAGGATGGGAGGAAGAAAATTTCCCACCAATATATTAGATGTCAGGAATTGGAATAAGTAACTCCTATGACTAACGTTTACTGGCTGATTTCTTAGTATTTTTCCATTGCATTCTAAGTCATTTCCTTTCCATTTTAAGTTGTGTGAAGGTGATTGAAATGTACATGTTGAGGAGGTAGAAACATTTTGAGAACAGATAAGAACTGAGTGTGATCGAAGGAAAGAGCAGCCTTTTTACAATTTGTGGAAATTGTGAGTTCATGATAGAATGAGGCAGTGCTTACTGATTTTCTTTATTCATGTCTCCAACACGCCCAGTTGAAAGTGGAACACTTTTCCTTTCTTTCTTTTTTTTTAAATAATACCAAATAGTAAATGCATAGCATTTTAGAAGAGGAAAACAGTTTAAAGGTTCCATTTCTTCTTTGATAGATAATAATATCTGACATTTACAAAGCAAATTTACTTTTGCTTCCGAAGAACATGATTTCATAGAGTCTTCAGAACTCTTATTATCTGCAATTACAAATGAGGAAATGGAGTCTCAGAAAACTTAAATGACTGGTCTAAGGTCACAGAGATAATAATAGCAATGATGGAGAGTATTAATCGAGCACTTACTCTGTGCCAAGCCCTCCTCACGTATGATCACGTTTTATCCTCACGATAGCCCTATTAACTCATATGTAATAGGTGACAGGCTAGGACTATAAATCAGTGCTAAGAAAACAGCAAATCAGTTGTTGAGAATATACACAGCAAAACATACACCAGTTCAACAGTTTCTACATGTACAGTTCAGTGACACTGATTATGTTCTTTTAGAGTTGTGCAGCCATTCTCATTCTCCTTTTCTGAGTTCTTCTCCATTAACATTAACTCACTGCCCCCTAAATTTCCTATCTAATTTTTCTAGTTGCTGTTGTCAGTTTGATCCCATATAGATAGAGCCTAAAAGAGCATAATGCTCAAGCAGACATTCTTTACTAGTTCAGCTAGACTGTTGTTTGGTTTTAAGAAGACTTTAGGGGCTGAATGCACTCGCTTACACACAGCCTAAATATTGAATACCATTAATGTGATTCTGTGTTTTTGGCCTGTGTATGTATGAAGCCAACTGGTCGAGCAATAGTATTCTCATTTTACAGGGGAGGAAATATTGACACAAAGAATTAAAAGACTACCATGATAGGACTGCACTAGCCAACACAGAGGCAAGAACCCAGTTCTTCCCAACACAGCAGGTTCCCTTCCTCTGACGTGTGTATCAGAATTTTGAGTGGGTCTTCTGCTGTTGTGTCCAATTGGTGACTAAGATCCAAAGCTAAGGAAAAAGAGGTACCAAGTACCTCATATTCTAAAGAGAGCTACAGAATATTGTAGGCCAAGTACCACCTTCAGTCAGTCAAACTGCAGCCTCAGTTATCATGCCAGACATCCCCACCCATTGCTGTCGAGTCGATTCCGACTCATAGTGACCCTATAGAGCGGAGTAGAGCTGACCCATAGGGTTTCCAAGGAGCGGCTGGTGGATTTGAACTGCTGACCTTATGGTTAGCAGCTGTATCTCTTAACCACTGTGCCACCAGGGCTCCCCCCATCCCCAGCATGCTCAAATTTTGACTAGACAAGGGAATAGAGACAGTTGTTAGAGCCACGAGTCTTTGGCCTAGCGGGAAGTACTGTGGCTCCCCCTTTGAAACCAGAAAAGGGAGTGCTCTGTGGACCACCTACAGAGATTGGACTTAAAAGAGGAGAATGACATCTCATTCCTTAACAACCAGTTGATCTGACCCCAGTGTTTATGCTCAAAACCCATTGCCGTCGATTTGATTCTGACTCATAGCAACCCTGTAGGACCGAGAACTACTCCTCAGGGTTTCCGAGGAGCAGCTGGTGGATTTGAACTGCCGACCTTTTGGTTTGCAGCTGAGCTCTTAACCACTGCAGCATCAGAGCTTCCCAGTGCTTATAGGAGTAGAGAAATGGAGAATCAGAGTGAGATAACCGGCTGAGAGAGTGTGGCGGTAGAGCAGCCTGGACCTGCCACATGGCATGGTAGTGATGTGTGAGTCTCCCAGGGGTAAAGAGACTACCATGGGAGGTAGCCAGGCTTGAGCTGGCTTGACAGTTCCCCACTTAAGAGGCTGTGGGGATAATGTCAGGGGTAGCAACAGAGGGGGTATTAGAAGAGCAAGGTGGAGTGGTTCTCCCAAATCAGGCAACTCTGCTCTCCCTCCCCACAGTCCCTAAAGAACTCTCACAAGTGTGCCCCAGGAAAGAGCCAGTGGTGGGACGTCTGCCACACAGATGCCAGTCAGGAACACCAGCCAGGAGAAGACCACAGCTACAGCACTGAAGTGAGACACTCACCCCTTTCCATCTCTGCTGCTACTGGAAACCCAACCCCCAAGCCCACCACTCAAGAGGGCAGGGAGGAGGAGTGAAGGAGGAGACTAAGCTGCCTCTCCATTGCAGGCTCCTGGCCACAACTGCCTGGGCTACAGGAAGGGAGGAGCTGAAAGGGAAGTGTTAAATTGGACTGGACTTCTTCATAACTTAGTCATTGCAAAGTTGTTTGAATGTTGGGAGCTGCCCAGAATGTTGTTAGAGACGGGAAGGGGAGATTCGTAAGAACAGGGTTAAAATGATGACTGAGGGAGAAAAGGACAGCTTATGTTTGTACTCCACGGATTCAGGCTATTTAGAATGGATAACACACAGGTACATATATATATATATATCTCCATTCTAAATAGCTAACCTGGATAGTTTGCATACTATTCAAACATCCTAATATCCTGAAGGTTTTATGGACCGATGTTGTGAGAAATCAAGTGACATCTTTAAAGTCCTTCATTATTGCATGTTCAAGTGATGAAATTGAGAAAGCATGGGCCAGCAAAACAAGTAGCCGCCTCTTTTCTCGTTTTTTTCCTTTTTCCACAGCAAGCACCTTGGCATCTCGTTTTCCAGAATGAGGATCTGTGATTCCAAGCTAGGTGGTTCGTGTATGCATCAGAAGTCCTGGCTGATAGCCTGATGGAGTAAATCAAACAGTCAGTATCGAATGAGTGCCTTCTATGATAAATACCATGGGATTACAAAGTGTGTAAAATCGTGTTTGGTAAAACAGAGGGTCAGCAAAAACGAGGGAAACCCTCAGTGAGATAGATGGACACAACAGCTGCAGCAGTAGGCTCAGACATACCAGCACTCATGAACACGGTGCAGGAGCGGGCAGTGTTTTGTTCTGTCACGCATGAGGTCGCCATGAGTCAATTTGACAGTAGCTGACAATAACAGCAACCTTCAAGGAGCTTACAGTCTAGGTATACGTGTACTTACTAAAGACGGGGTGGTGTATGACAAGTGCCAAATGAGTAGAAGTGGCGGTAAAAGTACTATATGAGTTTAGATTGACTGGAGACCCTCTTGCACTGGTCGTCAAAGTCAGAGAAGGTGAGTAGTGCCATGAGGAATGGGTAGGAATGAAACGGGCAGAGACTAAAGAGCAAAGGGACAGAACTTAGGGTAATTTGGAAGTCACATCTGGGTTCATTGAGTCCTCCAAAACAATTTCGCATCTTTCTTTGCAAAGATCTAACTCAAACTGGCTTAAAAAATAAAGAGGATTTGTTGGTTCATGTAACTGAAGAGAATAGAGGAAGAGTGGGCTTCACGAGTAAGTTAATTAGGGCTGTAGCTCCATTAACCAAAAGGTCGGCAGTTTGAATCCACCAGCCGCTCCTTTGAAATCCTAGGGGACAGTTCTATTCTGTCGTATAGGGTCGCTATGAGTTGGAATCAACTCAACAGCAGTGGGTTTGGTTTTTGGTTTTGGTAGCTCCAAAATTTCTCTATGATCCTCACAGCCCTGTCTTATCTTCAGCCTGGGGTTGTTCTTGGTTGCAAAATGGTTCCCCAGGTGTATTAGTTATCTATGGCTGTGTAACCGATTACCCACAAATTTAGCAGTTTAATCAATACAAATTGACTATCTGTTTCTATGTGTCAGGAATGTAGGTGTGGCTTAGCTGAATGGCTCTGGCTCTGGGCCTCTCAAGAGGTTACAGTCAAGATGTCAGCTGGGCTGTGGTCATCTGAGTCTTGACTGGGGCTGGATCCACCTCCGTGCTCACTCATGTGTCCATTGACTGGAAGCTTCAGTTCCTTGCCATGTGTGGGCCTCTCCGTAACAATTTCTCATGATATGGCAGCTGGCTTCCCCTAGAGCAAGTGAACTAGAAGAGAAAGACATAGAGAGCCCAGTATGTTATAACTTAATCTCACAAGTGACATACATCACTTCTGCCCTATTCTATGACTGATATAAACCACGCTGGTACCTTGTTTTACAAAGGTGGGAATGTCAGGAGGCAGGAATCATTGGCGGCTATCTTGGAAACTGACTACCACACCTGGCTTGTATGATTCCTTGCTCATATCCAGGAGAAGATAGTTGCTTCTTTTAGTTATTGAGCAAAAGTCCTCCGATTTGCTCTGACTGGACCATCCTTAAACCAATCGCTGTGGTTGGGAGAATAACAGGTACTGATGGCGTAGGTCTGGGTTACTGAGCCAATGTCTGTTTCAAGGGGGGCAGGATGACAATGATTAGCTTAGACAGACTAAGGTCCACTTGGAGCTAGAGACGTTAGTTGCTGTATTCCAACAGTACGTTCTATCCACAGAAAGGGGTGGATAATATGTTGTGCAGTCAACCACAATGTCCTCTACAGTCTGTGGTTACTCAGCATCCATACATATCCTCCTTTCTACCCATGCACTGTTACATGCATTATGGTCCCTCTCCGAAGGGAGCCAATCCAAAGTCTAATTCACACTCCAAGTCCAGGATCTCTGGGTGTTGTCCATTCTTCTCCACCAGATACAACTCTTCACAGTCCAACAATGTAAGAGGTCCATTTCCAACACAACCAATATGGAATTGTAGAGAAAGAACAGGATTAACTTTAACAGAATGCCCATTGAAAAATGGAGGCTGGAATGTAACACACAGCTGTCCCTGGTCCCCAGCACACATCAGGTCCAAATGGACGGGAATGTTAGGTTCTCCCCACCCTGGTTGGAAAAGAGGATCTGGGTAGAGACGGTTGGAAAGTAAGTTCCAGACATTAATTGCTGCCATACTGTAGAAGGCCTTTGGGAACTTCAACCTGTAGGCAACGGAGAAAGAAAGAGGATCATTGAAGGTTTTTGAATAGGGTAGGGACACGATCAAAATTGCTCTGGTGAAATTATTTTGGAGGCACTTTGCCGTATAAGTTCACAAATCTGCTTAAAAACAATGCCCCAGGGACAAGTTTCCTCACATAAACTTAAAGTGATGCTTGAAAAAGAAATGCTAACAGATTCCACAGTAAAAGGCCGTGTATAACCCAGGTTTGTCTCTTTGCAAATAGAAATTGTAAGTTGTTTCTAGGCACCTAAATGGAACAAAGAGGGTGGTTCTTGTTGAGTCACTCCCCTGGCATTGATTCAAGATGAGAATGAATGAGCTCTTTAGACTCTTTTGAAAAGATTTGTAATAGAAAGTAGACTTAGTAGGTTGAAAGTGACTGGGACTAAGTTTACCTTGAAAAAGTAAAAAAAAAAAAAAAAATTACTGCAGAAAGCATTTTTAGATAACAGTAATCTCTTGTGGATGGTGAGGGAAATAATAAACATTATTGTTTTAAATTATTTTATAACTGTAAACCCTATACAAGTTAGCTGATAAACAGTTTGTGTAGGCTGTGAAACGTTTGTCCTTTAAAAAAAGAATCACGTTGGGGGTTAAGTGACGCTGTGAGCCTGTAGTAATACCTGCTTTTGTGAGGGGCTATTTTACTAGTTCGGGATATGAAGGAACAGCCTCGTCATAGTGATAAGTCCTATGGGATTTCTCCTCAGATGGCCTGGAAGGAATCCAAGATGGAAAATGATGGAAGAAATTGATTATTCCTGTTTAAAATTCCAGCTATTAGGATTGAATTTGCATTTGGCTTATTCCTTGGAAGCATATGATGAAAACACCTGCAACCCCCATGGAGTGGTGTTATTTTCCTAGTCTGCAAACTCGAGTGAGTACGGGTGAGTGAAATGTATCAAAAAATTGAAAAAAAAACAAACTTTTTTTTTTGAGGTAGGAATAGATTCATCACTGAGTTTCCCTGCCAAATTCAGAATTAGATAGTGGAAAAATCCTATTTATTTTGGGTTTGTGAATCTGCCAGCAAACTGTTGGGAAAAATAAAGACAAGCCAGATGAGGACTTGGGTTATGGAATGAACTATACATGACATATGACTGAACTTTTTAAGAGAAGAATATACTTTTTTCCTACTTTTATTTCCCAGCTTTAGTTTAGTCTTTAATAAATTTGATTTGCAGTGTGCTTTCCTATTTTACTAAACTGTAGCAGCAAAATAGAAAACACAGCGTATTACACTGTTTAAATCAACTGAAGGTCAGGAAACAGAAAACAGCAGGTTTCCATAGCAACACTAATTTAGTTAGATCACACATGCTGTATCTAGCCATTAGTTTCCTCTTATGATGTTAAAAAAACGTAATATTTACTCTGTGAGGTAGTTCTGTTAGGATGTAAAACAATATCATACTTCATGCATGCGCGCTTTTAAATCTGTTATTATGGTAAGCTTGACATCTGACTGCTTGTACTATTTTGGAAAACGTGAAAAAAAGTTGCAAAAGTTTTTAAACAGTTTCCGAAGATAATTCAGTAGGAAATCATGAACATACAACAACTTAGCAAAATTGTCAGTTAAAGATGAACTGGATTTTTTGTGAGAATGTTGGCCCCAGAATTTGTGGGTGGTTTTCTGAGAATTTACTTGGTCTCTGAACTTCGTGTAGCTTTGACCTGATCTGCTTTTAGTTTTCACAGTTATCACATTCTGTAGTGTACACCCTTGATATCTACTAGGGATTTGTCCTAATTCATGTTTGAATCCCCAGATTCATGAATACCACTGTATCTCTGGCTTTTGGCTGACTTTTGGGGCTTCCTTTTCTCCAAAGAAGCTCCCTACCCCCGCCCAACTTTATGGCTTTATAACATAGACAATGACCCATTGAAGAGCGCAGACCTGATGTCTCGCTGGGCCCTGTCCTGTACACGCTCCAGGCACATTCACTGGCTTACAACTGGCCCTCACACACTGATCTCACATTGTGTGTGGTTCAGATTGATTCCTTAGTAAAATGACAAAGCGCTGCCTGCCATCTCTTTGAGGCCACTCAGAAGTACCCCACAGATTTTCGGGCGTTAAGCCAACCTTGATTCCTGGGATAAATATCACTTGCTCATACTGCATAATTTTTTTTATAAGTTGCTGGATTCAGTTTTCTAGCATTTTGTTGAGGATTTTTGTATCTATATTCATAAGCGATATTGGGTCTGTAGTTCTGTTTTTTTTCTTGTGAGACTTGTGAATATAGGCATGTACTCTATCTACCCAAACTCCTATTCAGTTCACTCAAATTAATAAAAACAAACAAAAATCAATGGAAAATGACAGTCATTTTTTTGGTGTTGTGAATATGAATACCATTTATTTGGTTGACTGAAATGTTCACTTCTTGCTGTCTGAGTGCTAAAGTAACGCTGAGAGGTCACATTCAATTTGAGAAGTCTTTATGGAATGCCTCTTACGCTAGGTATTTTGCTGGGTTCTTGGGATTCACTGATGAATAAGGAGTGGTAGCAGCAGCAGAGTAGTGTAACAATAAGTAGCACAATGGGTAAGAGTACCTGGGTTTGGATCCTGTCTTTACCACTTCCTGATGGAGCACAGGCAGATTACCTGCTTTCAGCTTTCTCCTCTGTAAGATGCAGTCACTAATAGTATGTGACTTACAGGATTGCTGTGAGGATGAAATGAAGTAATACATGTAAGCAGTGTCTGGTACCTGGTAATCACGAGATACAGTTTAGCTATTATTACTGTTATTATTTGCTTTGCATGTGCTAGAACTACCATACCAAAAACCCATTGTTGTCAAGTCGATTTTGACTCATATAGACCCTATAGGACAAAGTAGAACTTCCCCATAGGGTTTCCAAGGCTGTAATCTTTATGGAAGCAAACTGCCACATCTTACTCCTGTGAGAGCGGCTGGTGGGTTCGAACCACCCACCTGTTGGTTCGCAGCTGAGCGCTTAACCACTGCACCACCAGGGCTCCTTAGAACTTACATACGTTATTTCACTTACTTTGCATAACAAGCCTGTCGAGGAGGTTAGTGTTACCTCCATTTTCATAACTGAGAAACTGGGGCATATGGAGTCTAAGTAACTTGCCTGAGACAACTGACATGGTGACTGGTACGCCCAGTATATGCTTGACTGCCAAGCCAGTGTTCGGTATGTTCTTCTATACACCCTGTTTCTGGCTTAAAGGAGCCCTCACCTAGTTTTCCAGGAGGCCCTGTCCAATAACCAGCTTAGATTCTTCAGAGTTTCCAGAAGAGATCTTTTGGTGCCATATTTCAGTGACTCGTTCCCTAAAGTCAGTTTTGTTTTGTCTTTTTTTAAGTCTAAGATGATCTCATCTATTGCACTTGAACTGTTTCTTCCTTAGTGTAGAGAAGAAACATATCCATCCGTGTGGCAACTTAAAGTGAATATATTCCAGTGTTTTCTCGTACTTATTTCCTTAGAGGCTTCGCTGCTTAATGGAGAAAAGCACAAAATATATATCAAAGCTTTGTTTTTCTGGATTTCTTTTTAATGTAAAAGCTCAGTTTTAAGGAACCGAATCTTCGCTTGTCTAATTGGATGCTCTTCGTACCCTTGATTTTGATCCTCATTTCAACAGTATTTTCCAGGGTCTTCTGAGCGTCTTGTGGGTCAGGTTCCCACCCTGCTTTAGTTTTTAAATGCCCTCAGTTTTCACACCGCACAAGAGGCACAGGGGTCACGAGAAGGTGTGGGAGAGGATCAGTAAAGGATGTTGTCTTAGTTATCTCGTGCTGCTGTACGAGAAATACCACAAGCAGATGGATTTAACAAAGAGAAATTTATTCTCTCACAGTCTAGGAGGCTAGAAGTCCGAATTCAGGATGCCAATTCCAGGGGAAGGCTTGCTTTCTCTCTCAGCTCTAGGGGAAGGTCCTTGTCATCAGTCTTCCCCTGGTCTAGGAGCTGGTCAGCATAGAGACCTTGGGTCCAAAGGACTTGCTCCCCTCCTGGTTCTTCATTCTTGGTGATAGAAGGTCCCTCTGTCTCTCTGCTAATTCTCTCTTTTGTATCTCGAAAGAGATTGACTCAAGATACAACCTAATCTTGTAGATTGAGTCCTGCCTCATTAACGTAACTGCCTCTAATCCTGCCTCATTAACATCATAGAGGTAGAATTTACAACACATGGGAAAATCACATCAGATGACAAAATGGTGGACAATCACATGGTACTGGGAATTATAGCCTAGCCAAGTTGACACATGTTTTTGGGGGACACAATTCAGTCCATAACAGATGTGAAGGCAAAGGTAAAAACATGTAGGGTCAAATTTAATGCATTTTAGATGCAATTCCTTTTGTGTATAAATTGCTTTTCTGTGGTTAAAAAAAATGCTATAATTTTGGGGGAAAGAGGACAGGACTCTGGATGCTGAGGCATTGGGGATAGGAGTATAAGTAGATGGAGGCATATGAAAATGATGCGGAGCTCAGGTGGGGTGACTGTTGCCCTTCCACCAAGAGCCGTCTCAAGACTTGTATGTGCTCAGGGAAGGAAGTCAGTGGCTTTGTAGAAAATCATCCTGCTTCTACCAAGGGGAGAAATTATTCAACATTTCGTTTCTTCTTCCCTATCCAGTGACTTGTGCAGGAAAGTTCCTAACCATAGATCAGGGTGTTGGGCTCATTTTCCTTCTAAAAAGAATTGAAGCTTCTGTGAATGATGGGTGAATACCAAAAAACCAGGCAATTTTTTTTTTTTAGAGGAAAAAAGTCTTTATTTTAAAGGAAGAAAATCCCAGTGCATACCAAGTATGACACAAGACTGATACCCACCCAGTGGTCAGATATGTTTTCCTGAGGGATTTCCCTGTGTTTATTCCTCTAGCATTTTTTCATTCCTGACTTTTGGGGTGGCCCTTCTGTGGAGCGTTTCCTCATCCCAGCTGTTATGATGTTTAATCTAGAGTTGCCAACTTCTGATCTGGCGGTTCCAGGACACAGGGTGAGGAAAACAAAGTCTTCCAGCATTTCTGAATCCAGTCCCCCACCCGCAATGGAATTAGTGCTTTAATCTCTGGTCAATCCGGAATTGTTTTCAGTCCTCGCTTCATCTCTCCTCTCCCCCGGAATAGCAGAACTGTTACTAATGGTAAAGATCCATGTCCATGTCCAGGGTTCAAATTACTTATGCTCCGTGCAAACCTCAGTTTATTTCTCTTTTCCTTTTCTATCCTTCCCTTCCTCTTCACCAAAGTAAATTATGATGGTTGTGTGTGTGAAATATTTACTTTAAAGGGCTTTTTATTTTTTTGACATAAAAATTAGATTATGGTTTTTCAGCTAACTGGAGTGTGTTTTTGTCTTAGGAAAAACAGGGTAATCTTTAACGGGGATAATCATCTGGTTTTGATCCTGATGTTAGTCCATGAGGCAGCCTGACATGTCAAACAAGGGGTGTCGTGGCATTTAATTTTAGAAATGTACCCCTTCCACCATGCCCAGCTTGAATTGTTTCATATTAAGTGGCGTGGTTCTGACTGGCTCTGTTTTGTGCCTGGTCTGATGCAGGACTAGGCAGATAAGGAATCAGAGGTAAGCAGAATTAGCACTCAAAGGTAGAAAGCAGGGCGCAGACATGTAGGAAGAAACGGCTCTTTTCTCCAAAGGTGGGAAGGCGTAAATCTTAAATACTGTAATGTGTTGCTTTCGTTTGGTATGTTCAACAGTGCTATTATACTGTGAATGACTCTGACTCTGGCAATGGAAACTATTTAGGAGGCCAAGTGTTGAAATAGAGCCCTGGTGGTGCAGTGGTTAAAGTGCTCCGTCGCTCACCGAAAGGTCAGTGGTTCAAACCCACCAGCAGCTCCTCGT